GATTTCTCTAATAGAAGGAAATATGTTGTCAAAAAGAAGTCAAAATATATGCAGATTAAAGTGAATATAGTTACATAGGAAAACAAATGCTAAAAAACCTGCTCTGTGTTCTTGATTGCTCATTAGGTCTGCTCATAGTCTTTAGTGAATGTCTTTTCTGAAGACACAAATGTGTATACAAAACACAAGAAATAATCTGGACTTATTTTATGGTTATTTTGATTTGCACTTATCTTGGCTACTGTGTTTATCATGAGTATCCTAAGACATTATACATGCTCAATTTGTGCACGAAATAATCCCAAATACAAACAACAGTAATTCCCTTTCATTTTTTTTGTAAAATGTATATATGTGCTTTTGATGCTTTGTAAAGAATAGCTGATAAAGAACTGTCTGGATGGCCACACGTAAAGAGTTGTGGTCAATGGCTCAATGTTCAGCTGGAGACCAGTAACGAGTGGTGTCCCCCAGGGATCAGTGTTGGGACCGGTCTTGTTTAACATCTTCGTCGCTGACATGGACAGTGGGATTGAGTGCACCCCCAACAATTTTCCCTATGACACCAAGCTGTGCAGTTTGGTTGATACGCTGGAGGGAAGGAATGACATCCAGAGGGACCACGACACGCTCATGAGGTGGGCTGATGCCAACCTTGTGAAGTTTAACTGTGCCAAGTGCAAGGTCCTGTACCTGGGTTGGAGCAATCCCAGGCACAGCTACAGGTTGGGCAGAGATTCAGAGCAGCCCTGCAGAGAAGGACTTGGGGGTGTTGGTTGATGAGAAAATGAACATCAGCTGGCTTCAGTGTGCCCTCACAGCCCAGAAAGCCAACCGTATCCTGGGCTGCATCAAAAGAAATGTGACCAGCAGGTTGAAGGAGGTGATCCTGTCCCTTTATTCTGCTCTCGTGAGACCTCAACTGGAGTATTGTGTGCAGTTCTGGTGTCCTCAACATAAAAAGGACGTGGAACTGTTGGAACAAGTCCAGAGGAGGGCCACAGGTATGATCAGGGGACTGGAGCACCTCCTGTATGAAGACAGGCTGAGAACGTTGGGGCTGTTCAGCCTGGAGAGGAGAAGGCTGTGTGGAGACCTCATAGCAGCCTTCCAGTATCTGAAGGGGGACTATAGGGGTGCTGAAGGGGGACTCTTCATTAGGGACTGTAGTGATAGGACAAGGGGTAATGGGTTAAAACTTAAAGAGGGGAAGTTTAGAATGGATATAAGGAGGAAATTCTTTCCTGTTAGGGTGGTGAGGCACTGGAATGGGTTGCCCAGGGAGGTTGGGAATGCTCCATTCCTGGCGGTGTTCAAGGCCAGGTTGGAGAGAGCCTTGGGTGACACGGTTTGGTGTGAGGTGGCCCTTCCCATGGCAGGGGGTTGGAACTGGGTGATCTTAATGTCCTTTCCAACCCTAACTCTTCTATGATTCTATGTGTGTTAGTATCAAAGCCAGCAACAGCAGAAATCTGAAGTATGTGCTAAAAATCTATGGAATAAATCTTTGGTATTTTCTATTCCATTTTTATTTTTTGTCACTGGAGACAATTAAGCCAGATTTCATGTCGTAAACATAAAACTGGAAGGACATGGTGAGAGTAACCTAAGTAAATGTGGCTGCATTAATTGAAATGTTGAAATGTATAATGGAGATCTGACAACTGCAACTTTAAATCTACAAAGCAATTGTTTAATTACCTAGAAGATTTCTTTGGTACTAAGGCAGATAACAGGTACGTTAGCCATACAGTTTAATTTTTCTACCATTTGATTAGTCTCATTAAAACAAAAAGAGATAGTCATGAGTATTTAACCCAAATACTGGTTTAAGTCTAACTTCAGTGTAAAACAATCCATGTTGCTACATAGAATTAACCTCTCTTCTGTTGACATATCTTAAACCAGTGTGTTCATTAAAGACTGACCTTTCTGTTGGTACAGAACTAATATCTCTCACCAGAGGAGGAGGCCTAGAGGAAGTTGGAGAACATTGTTGCATGTTTAGTGATACGAAAGAAATTTGAGGGGCAACAACGTTTGAAAACAAACCAGCCAGCCAGCCAATGCCAGTGCACACCCCCCCCACCCTGCCCCTACAGGTGTTAGCCTGGTTGACTATGCCAAATGACTACTTGTGAGAAAAAGTTGACAGACTTCTCTTGTAACAATAAGTACTTCAAATATAAAAACCATGTTTTTTTCTGGTTTGTTTTTGGCTTATTCCCCTCCCCCCCCATTTGATGATGTTATATTAATTATTGATTCCTAAGCTTTTAGATTCACAAGCACTGTATCATATGTGGTGCTCTGAAAAATGGTAACATGATTTTATTTTTCTCAGATGTTACGAAAACTTTCATAGTTAACACTGGTTCCAGAGACTGTAGGCTCAGGCAGAGCCATTGCAGTTAGCAATTTAGTTTTACATGTTACAGTCTTCTTGTTGCATGTTGATCTGTGTATATGCTCGGTGGTTTACATTGTGTATTGCATTTATGTGGCAAGGTTAGGAGGTATGGGGTGACTGCAGAGGTGGCCTCTGTGAGAAAAGACCAGGGGCTGCCGTTGTGCTGGACGCAGCTGGTTCCAGTCAGCTCTAAAATGGACCCACTGCTGGCCAAAGCTGAGCCACCCAGTGTGGCAAGTGATGCCTTTGTGATAAGGTATGTAAGAAAGCGTAAAAAATGCTGCACAGCAGCTGTGGGAGAGGAAGGAGAAAAATGTGAGAGAAAGAACCCTGCAGAGACACTAGCGTCAGTGAAGAGGGGAGGGGAGGAGGTATTCCAGGCACTGGGGCAGATACTCCCTGTAGCCCGTGGAGAAGACTATGCTGAGGCAGGTTGTCCTGCTGCAGCCTATAGAGAAGACCACAGTTTAGAAGGTATTTCTTTGCAGCCTATGCAGGGCCCCATGCTGGAGCAGGTAGATGTGCCCTGAAGGAATCTGTAGTCCATGGAGAGCCCATGCAGGAGCAAGATCCTGGCAGAAACCTGTGGATGTCCCATATTGGAGCAGTTTTTGCTGAAGTACTGCACTTTATGAAGAGGACCTGTGTTGGAGCAGGGAAAAAGTGTGAAGAGGAAGGAGTGGTAGAGATGAAGTGTTTTGAGCTGACCACAGCCCTCATTTTCCATACCCTCTACAACATTTGAGAGAAAGGAGACAGAAGAGTTGGGAATCAAGTAATGAAGTTGAGCTTGGGGAGGTGATACTATTTTTGTCTTTGTCTTTCACCATCCTACTCTATTTTAAATTGGCAATAAATTAAATTTGTCATCCTTGGGTCTGTTTTCCCCATGACAGTAATTGGTAAGTGATCACACTGTCCTGACCTCAACCCGTGTGCTTTTCCATCTTATTTTCTCCCCACTGTCCTGTTGAGGAGGTGGAATGAGAGAATGGCTGGGCGAGTGTCTGGCAGCCAGCCAAGATCAACTCCCCAGACACTGTGAGAAAACAAGGCATTTTTTAACCTGTTGGTCTGGTAAATGGATCATAGTCCTTTCATCAGGAAGGAAAGATTTTATTCTTAGTCTTGCAGTGTATAGGTATCAGAACTGTAGTACAGATTTTCAGCACTGAAGAAAAATGGGAAAATAAGGTGTGAGAGAGAAGTGGGCCTTGTAATGCGTTTTCTTGGAAACTCTGTGAAGCATGTTTTTGTGCATTTTAGAGTCTATATGGTAGTGATGTAATGACCTTCCCCTCTGCATTCTTATAATAATAGCTCTATGATAAATCCACTGTGGTTTGAATGTATGGGTTCATTAAAAAAAACCTGACATAAGCTTTGATATAATCTGCTCAAGTCTAGATGCTTAACTTATCCTGGAAATTCTTGAGGGAAAACAGGTGAGCTTTTTTTGTTTTCTATAACTTTTATCTCTTCCTGAGTATATGTTATTTCAATGAAGAAGTGCAGAACCTATTTGTATTTCAAAGGTTGAAATAGAAAAGTAGTTTTTGCAATTCTGTGGTCAGTAGTAAGCAAGTGGGAACCAACTGTGGCTTTTACTTAGATGCTGCTTATTTCTTAGTTCACATATATGGAACTTACAGAAAAATAAAGCTGTGCTTTGAATTAAGGCTGTTTGCTGTTTTTCTCCTTGTAAACTGCCAATTTTGCAGTGAGAAATTAATTAAAATCCCTTGGATTCTGGTAGTCCTCAAATGTTTTCCATACTTCCCCATCTTTGAAAGCTGCTGAATAATTGCTTGTCTGTGAAAAAAAAATAGTGGCAGAGTTCCTAAAAGAGGAGCTCTTTGACATGTTCTCTCGATGAGTTGCAGCAGCACATGCCAGAAAACGTGGTGTAAGTGAATGGAAAAAAAAAAATACAGAATGATTATTGGATCCTCAGGCTAGATAAACGCACTCCAAATTACATGTATGAAGTCTGCATTGAGTATGTATACTAGATAAGTAAATTAATCTAAACATTTACCACTTGAAGTCCAATTACGTAAGTCTGATATTGAAATGTTTTTTGGTTTTGGTGTTGCTTTTTTTTTTTTTAATATTGGAAATTTCCTAATGTTGAAGTAAGTTGATTGAGAAGTCCTTCCTGTCTTTATATTTCACTTTTTATGTGGATCTTTCTTACATGCAACTTTAACTTATTTTATTGATTCCATCTGTTTTCCTTCTATACTATCATGGAACTAAATTTCCCTGCTTTTAGGAGACTTAAACACTTTTTTCAAATTTTAAGCAACTGAATTTTCAAGATTTGGCAGAAAATGAACATGTAATGGCATTGTGTAGAAATAGTGGTTTATTCTCAGTGGTATTCCTGCTTTCTGGTTCTTGTATTTAGAAAACCAAAACAGAATAAAAACCGTGGAAAGTGCATGTGGGGTATCTTAGAGATAGGTTTGAAGTATCTTTAAGTGATGGACACATGATTGACAGTTGGGAATTGTGAATTAGCTCCTGCCCATTAATTTCTTGTTATTTTACACTGATGAATATTTACTAGATGTCTAAATTGCTACTTTTTGTTTTAATTTACAGGTATTGTTATTTCAAGAAATGCTGTGACTTACTTGAAGAACATCATTCACAGGAACTTTTGTCTTGTGATATTTTTTTAAAACTAGAATGGCTTTGAAAAAAACACCTAAACTATTCAAGAAATTTTTTTTTCACTGGAAACTTTGGAAGTTTAGCATCATTGTGTTTGTCTTTCTGGTATTTTTATTTTTATTGCAAAAAGAAGTGGGTGTTCAAGATTTTAAAGATGAAGCAGGGATTGAGCCAGTTGTTGGAAAGAAAAGTCATGTGTTAGGTCTTATGTTAAATGCTATGAACAATATCAAAGGTGCAAAGCCAAAAATGCAAATAAAAGCACCTGTTAGGCAAACTAAGATTCCTGGAGAGAGACACTGTTTGCCAGGATACTATACTGCAGTGGAACTAAAACCCTTTCTAGATCGACCCCTTCAAGATCCTAATGCACCTGGAGCTTCTGGTAAAGCATTTAAAACCGTCAACTTAAATTCAGACGAACAGAAAGAAAAACAACGTGGAGAAGAAAAACACTGTTTTAATGCATTTGCAAGTGATAGGATTTCTTTACACCGAGATCTTGGACCAGACACTCGACCTCCTGAGTATGTTGAAATGTGTATGTTCTGTTAGTTGAAAAAACTTCTCAGAAATACAGATTGAAAAGTGCAGATTGATTTGAGTTCAGCATTAGGTGATAGTTTAGGAAAGTTTCCTAGCTATGCATAATGATCCACAGTGCCAAAGCCAAGAATGTTTAAAAAGGCTCACTTCTCTCATGGTTTTGAATTTGAAGTAACCATATTTAAATGAGGTCTTCAGATTTTTGCCTTTAAGCTACAATTTCTTTGTGACTTTCTGGAAGCCAGATAGATTTTACTTAGAAGAAAACTAAAAATGTATTTTAAGCTTTTTTTTTCCAAGTTAAATGCTATTTCATGCCCTACTTTTTTAAGCATTCAGTGTTTTAGTAAAACCACCAGCATAATTTAACAAATTAGGAAGTATAAGTTATTGAACAAGGCTATGAAACATTTCAGTAATCTTGTATTAATGAAGTCTCTAGGACTTGGTAGAGTGGGTTTTGGTTATGAAGTGTCTCTGTCAGTGTCAGATTATATGTTCTCAGCTGTGTCAGAAGTGACTAATCTTACAATGATGTTGCTGGTAGTACCAATATCTTGTTACATGTGATACAGCTCACAATAACCTTTGCTAGAGCATAACTGGTGAGTTTCTGCCTGTGTATTTTCTGAGGCAATGGCTGTGATAATTACCTTGGGGAGTCTTGCAGTCTCTAAAGCAGACAGGCAATAAACAATAAGTGTACAGCTTATGAATACAGAAGTGTTGTCATCTTGACTTGCAGCTGGATTTAAATAGGTTCAGAATATGTCAGTCATGGGAAAAACTGTACATCTAAAATTGCTTTTCTTGAATGGGATATGCTGCCCTAAGGATTTTTTGGTATTTACAAAATTTTGAAGCTCTGAATTAGATCTGCTCCATTTTTTTCTTGCAAGCTCTGCGTTCTCCTAGCAAATAGTAATCTTTGTACTTTAGGTTTTCAATGGTAAATGTGGCTTAAAGTCTGATTTTTGTAGTTCAGTACCTCCTGGTCTCAATAAAATAGTATTATTTTCTGAAGAAGATCTGGGTGCTATATGAAAGTTCTCAAATGTTTTTAAGATGGAAGCAGAACTGAGTCAGCTGTTGTGAGTCAGTTGTTAAGTGGCATTCTTGTTTATCATGTTTTTGAAATATATTTGTACAGCTTCTCCAGTTGGAGTGCCTGCTTTTGTGCTCCAAAACTCAGAGTTTAACTCCAGACTTTTTTTTCGTTTTGTAACATTTGATGCTTTCTGATCTGTAGATGTATTGAACAAAAGTTTAAGCGTTGCCCGCCGTTGCCAACCACAAGTATTATAATAGTTTTTCATAATGAAGCATGGTCCACTCTTCTCAGAACTGTTCACAGTGTGATGTATACATCTCCTGCAGTACTGCTAAAGGAGATTATTTTGGTGGATGATGCCAGTGTAGATGGTAAGAAGTAATTCTATTTTCTCTTATTTTTTTTCCCTTTTTTTTAATTTAAGACATGTTAGGATTGCAGAGAAATTGGTTATCTCTCTACCACCATTGACATGTATAATAGTATTTTAAGTGGTTGTATTTTCTTTTTCTATAAAATACAAAACAGTTCTCCCCATCTTTTTTCATTAAGGTAATTAAATATGAAATTCTGGTCCTCTAAAGGTTTTAAAACCTCATTCCTGTTTATTCCAATTCTGGTGCTTCTTAAACTGCATAACTGGTTGCATGACAAGTAGCTCTGTAATCTGTGCTTCAGACCAATTACAGTTCATAGAATAAAGTATCCAAGGATAAATTTGCCAATGCTTGTAGCAATTTGCATTTTATCATAGCGATTCTCTTTATGCAAATTAATCTTATTAGTATGAAAGGCAGTGTCTTATGTAGAAATGCAAATTAAACAAATTTTAAAATTATTAAAATTTATCTTTAATACTTACGCCGGCTGCCAAAAGAATTTGAATGTATGCTGACTGTGGTCACAAATACAAGTTAAAAGAACTGCATATGCTCAGTCTTAGATAAACATGTCTATACATGCATAGCTCTATTAATGCATTTACAAATCTGTATGTAGTATACTGACACACTTAGATGTGAAATATGTTCAGTAATACAGTTTAATACTAAGGATGGGCAGAATAATTAAGATGATATGGGATGTATAATGAGGGATGTGGGGTTGCTTCTCAAATTTAGCACGTCCAAAGAGTGTTTGAGATAGTTGCTCTTGCTGATGTAAATATTGTAGCCTTTGAAAGCTCTAACTTATGCTGTCATTCAGGAAAAAATATTGTATGCTCTGGAGATAACTTGAGTAACTTAGTACGCGATCTATTTCCTCTGAAAATGGATATTGAATTGATGTTCAAACTGTTAATACTACAGAAGAGATGTACTGGCACATGTCATTTCTCACTTAGAATGTTTTTAGTGTTTCATGTTCTGCTCTTGGCCAGTCATGTCTTCCTATGCACTCACCCCCAACAAAACTCAGTCTCAAAAAATAACATTCAACAGTCAGGATTTTTTTATTTTTTTATTTTTTTTTTACTGCTCTAATGTGAAAAAAAACACCTCCCAAGATTAGTGTGAATTGTTTATCCTGATAGTTTAGTAATGTAACATTTTAGGCAGTGTCATGTATATACACTGAACATCCTTAAACCAATTTCTCTTTCTAGAATACTTGCATGATAAGCTAGATGAATATGTGAAACAATTTCAAATAGTTAAAGTAGTTCGTCAAAAGGAAAGAAAAGGTCTAATCACTGCACGATTGTTGGGAGCTTCAGTAGCAACAGGAGAGACCCTTACCTTTCTGGATGCTCATTGTGAGTATATCTGTAACTATGCCCGATATGGGTTATAATGCTGTTGTCTTTGATTTAACATTACAGATTTTTTATAAATTATTAACATTAACAAACTATCATCTTTACTATTGCTATTTTATATTATTGAAAGTATACTTAGTAATGCCATTTAAAAGCAGCGCATATTGGATTGCTGTGGGCATGTCAAAATATTCTCTGTGTGCTGCTTTATAGTCAAGTAAAAATTCAGTGCTTGTCAACATTTTCTCCATAGGTGAATGCTTTTATGGCTGGTTGGAGCCTTTACTGGCAAGAATAGCCGAGAACCCTGTAGCTGTTGTGAGCCCTGATATTGCTTCTATAGATCTCAACACTTTTGAATTCAGTAAACCATCTCCTTATGGGCATAGCCACAACAGAGGAAATTTTGATTGGAGTTTGTCATTTGGATGGGAATCTCTTCCAAAGCATGAAAATAAAAGAAGAAAAGATGAAACCTATCCAATTAGGTAAACATAATTTGAATAATATTTTGAATTCTTCTATTTTCATGGCTGTTTATACCACAGATTCTGGCTTCTCATTCATGATATTTGAAAGGATGACAACAGATGTTCAGAACATCAAAATACTAGACTGTTACAGCAGTATATTTGACAATAATTGTATGTGCTTTGGCCACAGACAGATTACTGGTCTGGAGGAGTAATAACTTTGCTTGATACTGTCCATACAGGGAAAATATGTTTTTCCTGATGGTGTCTTTTATAGCAGAAGTTACTCTAAATCAGCTGTTAATAAATGACAGTAGTCAAATGAGACCTAATGTGAGCTATCTATTTGAATCCTGTCTTCTTCAGTAAATTTCTGTTTTTTGCAGAACACCTACTTTTGCTGGAGGTCTCTTTTCAATATCAAAAGCCTACTTTGAGCACATTGGAAGCTATGATGAAGAAATGGAAATATGGGGAGGTGAAAATATAGAAATGTCTTTCAGAGTAAGTTTAGCTACTTAATTAGCAGTGACCTCTACACTGACAGGATTTTTGAGGACAAATTATTTTTAGATCTTGACTTCTCTGCTGAATTGGCCAAGTAGGACAAGGGAAATGAATTACTAATTACCTGGTATAAAATACAAACATGATCACTGGACTGGTTTTTTTTTTTTGGGTTTTTTTTGGTTTTTTTTTTATGTGTTTAGGGTTGGTAACTGAAATGTGTGTTTCCAGGGTTTACCTGATTAGGAAAATTGCTTACAGTATGTCTGATATATGCACTTTTACTAGTGGTCTGGGATTTTTTTCTGGCAAATGGTAACATTGCTGATTTATTTTTTTTTCCACTCCCTTAACTCTAATTGCAGTGCACTTACACAAAAAATGTTATTATTAGGTATGGCAATGTGGTGGACAGTTGGAGATCATGCCTTGCTCTGTTGTTGGCCATGTCTTTCGCAGCAAGAGCCCCCATACTTTCCCAAAAGGTACCCAAGTGATCACACGTAATCAAGTCCGCCTTGCAGAAGTGTGGATGGATGAATATAAAGAAATATTTTATCGAAGAAACACAGAGGCAGCAAAAATTGTGAAACAAGTAGGTGGTGGTGGTGGTATTAGAAATCACGCTTGCTGCGTTGAAAGTTTTGGTGAGCAAAAGTTATTTATTGACAAAGTATGTGAGGATTCTAGAAATTTTAATGAAAAAAACAGTTCAGTTTGCTTAACAGCTAGTCCAAACAAACATCAAAAGACTTCAGTGTTTGGGTGCTAATAGTTTTGTTTTGCATGGTGGGTTTTTTGATTGGTAGGGTTTTTCTCATACATGCTCTAAAATCCTGGGCTGTTTGCATTGAGCATTACTGGAATAAGCATGAGAAAACCTACTGAGCATACAAAGTCCAAACTCTCTTTTTTTTTTTTTTTTTTTTTTGAGTTTTGTTGCTCCTTAGCTGCAGAATACAGATTATTCAATGATAGATACCCATCCTTTTTCTATCTGCTTAAAAAAATGTTCAATTCAGGGGATTTGGGTGTTGATTTAGTTTTGTAAGTTTTCTGGAACTTTGGTCTTTCACTGCTGAAATCTAGAGTTTTCTTCAAGGAGATATTTGTTCTCCCTTTGTATGATGAATTTTGTGACTATTGTTTCACTAATAGAATTAGATTTCCTAAGCATGTTTAGCAGCTAGACAGCTGAGTTCTGTCTGGGAAATTTTGCATGCGCTATTATGCTAATTATTTAGTTATTTCAATTGATTATTTCAGATCATTCTTTTTAGTGAGATCAGATAGCTTTAAAACTGTCATCAGTATGGTCTTGTTTGTACTTTCCCATTTCATGCCACTGTGTTAAAACTCTCCTGGGACTAAGGATACTTCTGTTGTGTCCGTGTTGCAATGTACTTTTCTTGCACATGCTTTAAAATGCTGCAGGCAGGATGTCAGTGGAGTTATGACATTGGAAAATAAACAGCAGTAACAATAGTAGTACAGTATTAAAGAAAAATTAAAAATCAGCAAGTGGAGATTAAAGCTAGTTTAATGTTACAATAAAGACTATCATAGATTCATATGTACAAGCCTGGTATTAGTAACATTGGTATGTTTCTCTTCATTCCATCCTTACTTCCCTTCCTCTAACAGAAAACATTTGGAGACATCTCAAAAAGGCTCGAGTTAAGGCAACGTCTGCAGTGTAAAAATTTTACCTGGTATCTCAGTAATATTTATCCAGAAGCATATGTGCCAGACCTGAACCCTTTATTTTCTGGATATGTAAGTTGAATATTAATTATTTTCTATAATCTTCTATAATTCAGGAAGTTTGCTAATCTTTTATGTTACCTTAGCCATAGCACTTGCATTTTATCTGTCATTAGTTGCTCTAGGGTTTTCTGTCACTACTCTAGACAAGATTATCTCCTCCATACCTTGCTATTTGTATGTTTTATAGCTTTGTTAATGTAAGCAAAGCTTCTTAATAGCTAACAGTGGCCTTGCTTAACAATATCTTACAGCCTGCTAAGATAAACATTCCGCTTATCACTAACAGTTAAAATGACACAAAAGTAGTAAGCCACTGATGAGAGATTTCCTGAGTTATCAAGGTAAATTTAGCTTTATATAGTAGAAAGTCTGAGAGGATTTTTACTTCATGTTAATAAGGAAAATTGGACAGCTGTTTGCTTGTCAGAGTTAAGCTTATGCTGAGGAAAATGTATGTTTATACATGATATGTATGAGGATTTTTTTAAGTCCATTGCATTTCCTCTGCCAAATAACTTTAGATACTGCATTCCTAAAACCAAAAATTGTTAAACAACTAATAATTCTTAGTTTGAGGTAAATGCAAACATTTAGCGTACATTTACAAATAAAACTTCCCCTTCCTCCAATTCTGAATATTTTCTGTATATCTGTCCAAGTTATGATTTGAATAACAATAAACTTGTACAGCAGTAGCCCAGTAATTCCCAGTGTGTGGTTGTAGACAACCACAATGGAGTTATCAGGCTTTTAGTTAGGAAAGATTAATGAAGAGACCAGGATTTTTAGACTTCAGCACAGCAGAAAGTAAAAATGAACAGCTGTAACTGTTGGTAACCCAAAGGTTAAATTTGTATCCATGACACAGTTTAATTTTATTTCATCCCCTCTGAGTGAACTTCTTCCTTTTTATTTTTCTGATTACACCCTTTCTTTAGCTAAAAAATCTAGGTAACCGCATGTGTCTGGATGTTGGTGAAAACAACCATGGTGGCAAACCATTGATTATGTATTCTTGTCATGGACTTGGAGGAAATCAGGTAAAATGTTTGATACCTGATTTTTATGATCTGTTTAGCTGTAACTTTCCCATATTAAAGCTTTTAATGTATTTTAGAGCAATGGACTAATTTTTAACATGCAATTTCTCTCTCCCTCTTTTTTCTTTTTTTCTTTTTTTTGAGTTAATTCCTTTTGTGTAAGAAAAATTTCATTCTGCTCTTCATGTTGTGTCCTGCTTCTAGTGTTCTGTGTTCATGTTGTGTCCTGCTTCTAGTGTTCCGTGTTCATCATATCAATTCAGATTTTTAACACAATTGCACTGCTTCACTTGATATCTCCTTTCAGTGCAAAACCTTTCCTCCTACCCTTACTACTTTAAGAGTTGTCTCCTTAATTCTTCCTTTCCTTATGCTTCCTCCTATTGCTTCTTTCTCTGCCACCAGGACTCACGCTGTCAAGGAAGATGTTGATGGGAATCCGGCCAATGGGAGATCAAGGCCTGAGCCATCTTCCCTGTCACGCTTGCAGCCTCATAGTGGGAGGTCAAAGTGGCCTATCCTGTACTGGCTAATGCAAGTGAATAATATTGAATTTGTCGAAGAAGAGCTCTCCTTGATGCATAGCTCTTGGAGGCAGCAATGGTGCTCTGTTTCTCCTACAGTATGGCTTGCAATAAATGTCAGATACTGAATCTTTCAGTCACTACTGTAATAGTAGTAACAGTAACATCTCATCTTCCTGCTCAGAAATGAACGCTTCTGTGTTGCCTTAAAGAGTTATTTGGTGAATAAAATTTATTAATTGTAAATCCTTAATAACTAAAGGTCAAAAATACTTAAAAGGTTTTATTAGAGCATAGTTGTAATTTTTTTCTTCATAAAATCTTCAATTTTAATGCCCTCCATTGATGGCACTGTGAAAACTCAGATACCTGGTTGATCCTTTCTTACGCAAATTCTGTGGGAGATAGAATACTGTTTAGGTTAACTAGACAGTATTCCAACATAACTTTTTATGTTAGCTTCTTACAATACTGAACTTTCTCTTTTTTCCTTTATTCTGATGTGAATTAGTACAATATTAGCCTTTTCACATTGTCACAGTCATTAATGCAGGAGCACAGACATTATATTAAGAGGTCTGCCATATGCTTCTGTTGTCAGCTCTCCCTAAGTTATCTTGGGAATGTACTAAAATTATGTTTGTTTTTTGTTCTACCATAAAATGAGTCTAAATCCCTTTAAATGCCAACCTTCACAGCATTTTAATGTAGATTTGCTGACAATGTTCAAGAGATGTGCATATTTGCTTACTTAACCTTTCTCATCACAGTACTCTGTTTCTAGTTGGTTTATGTGCTTTACCAGATTTCAGCAGCGTAGGTAGAAATTTTCCATTCCAGGAGAATGGATTAGAACCTAGAGAACCTCATTTTGAGAGTTGTATATGAATTGTTAATCATTCTTCCTTGTTAGAGTATTCTGGGTTGGGAACATGGACATCTCTATATCAAAAATTAATCAGGTTTTAAACCTCACTTTCTATGCTTTTCTAATGGCTAGCTCACAAGTGAACAGAACAGCATCCTATTATTAGCATTTATGGTTTAGATCAAGCAGCAAAATTTGACGTGCAGCAATCAGTGTTGTTCTGTGTGACAATTTTCTTTTTGTTTGCTCTAAGAAAAAAACAAAATCCAGCAACAAAAATAGAATAAAGTTTTTTAAAGTTAAGAAATGCCAATATTTAAGTTAGCCATGCAATTATCTGTACTCTTCAGTTTATCTCCTTGAATTATATATGATTCCTGGGAGAGCAAACAAGATCTTGCATCATAATGCTTATTTGCAATTTATACATTTAAGTACTTTCTTTCTATTACATTAGTACTTTTGTAAACACTTTTAAAGTGTACATACTAGAAATAAAAGCAAGTATTCTGTAGTTTCAAATTGTTGATTAACAAAAAACTTCATTATTGTGTGTATTTAAATTCAAAGGATTAATTTAGTTTAATATTCTTGTTAGTGTTTATTTACTTATTTTTTTATTATTTAAATAGTACTTTGAATATTCTGCACACCATGAAATTCGACATAACATTCAGAAGGAGCTTTGCCTGTATGCGTCTAAAGGACCCGTGCAGCTTCGTGAATGTAACTACAAAGGCCAGAAAACCTTTGCTGTTGGAGAAGAGCAATGGCTGCATCAAAAGGTATTTAGAATCTCCATTTTTATCAGTGATCTTTTTATATAAGTTAATTTTTGATTTCCAATAAAAAAGAGAATCCCAACAATACAAAACTCTCAAGACAAAAAGGAAAAATTTTATTTCTGGGAGGAAATCATAGGTAATTCCAGCCTTTCAGTTACCAGATCAAAACATGATGATACCACTATTTTAAATGTAAAGTATAAATGTCACTTAGAAAACTAGTTGATATAGTGTCTTTTAAAATAGTTTTTTAAAATTTTCCTAACAAAAGAACCTGTCACTTGCACACTACTCATATTTGCTTGCTAGCCCCTCTCTGTGTATCTGCAGAGATGAATATCCCCCATCTGTATCTCTTACTCTTTAACAACAATGAACTATTGGGGAAAAAAATGAAGTGTGTGTGGAAAATAGCATGCTTGATGTTTGTTCACTTTATTTATTTTTTCTTTCTTCCTCTTTTACTCACTTTAGGATCAAACTCTGTACAATGCAGCACTACATGTGTGCCTTACAGGGAATGGAGAGCATCCAAGTTTGGCATCCTGTAATCCATCGGACCCCTTCCAGAAATGGATCTTTGGCCAGAACAATTAATACTTGATATTTATAGGCAGGAAGATTTATTTAAAAATCCCTTCTAAACTGTGATTCATATACATATACTGCATTTTTAAGTGATGCAAAATGTTTAAACAGTTTCTTTTTCCTCTTATTTAAGGTGGTTAAAAAATGTGTCATCACAGATTCCCTAGGAGTCTGTTATACCAAAGATGATGAGATTCCAATTAAGAAAAATGTTTACAATATTTCTAGGATAAGACTTTATATATTGACCACTGATTTATGGATTCTATTAGTCCTTTTTCACCCTTGGGACCATAGGAATATCATTTTTCCACATATTGTGACTCCTTCTGAGGAAGACTAGTTTTCTCTGTAGAGTTATGAGAAATGGAATACTGCTTAAAAAACGACACTTTATGTATATTTTTATGCTTGATTAACTTCATTTATTTTTTAATCATCTACTCAGTGAACCTTTCCCAGCATTTTTTATGTTCTGTCACTTGAAAATTAAATATTTCACCTTCAGGTTAAAGCCAAATAGGCTGCCACACTGTGCTCAGCTTCTAGCAAGTCAGTTCTTCATTTGTGGAAGATAATAATAATTCTCAATGAAATGTATGATTTTCTTCATGGAGAATTTGTTTATTCTGATATTAATCTCCTTTTGTTTAGCCAAAATGTTTTGTATAGATCCTTTTGTATTTAATAAACTTTACAATTTATGAAGTTATATTGTAATGGATTTCTGAGATGCTTAACATAAACGCATTTTCTTAGCATTTTATTATTGTTTTTAAATCACGTTATCTAGTAACTCCACTTTTTTTCATTTAAACAATGTTTACCTAAGAAGTTTCTAATATTACCCATACATAATTTCTGGTGTAAAAACTTGCATGTTGATTTTTTTTCTTGTTGCTGTTTCCTCTTTTACAAAGTATTGACCTCAGTTTTATCAGTCCAAGTGAGACCTTGGCCTTTTGTATGAAATACTGTATTCTTGTAAACATCCACAACCAGACTTCCCTAGATCATGTGGAGCTATGACTTCATAAATAGCATTACTTTAAGTATTTTATTTACATTTGTTTGTCCTACTGGATGCATAGGTGTTAAACACCCTCCAGTTAGTCCTCCATTGCAATTGCCAATCATGCCTATTTTCTGACTGTGGTTATCTGAGGCCAGAAAGAGGCAACTTTTCTGCACAGAAATGTGCTTTTTAGGAACTAGGAAGGTGAGATTATTGAGCATCCCACCCTTAAAGCGTCTAAGGTCACATAAGATTACACTTTAGTATGGTAAGATTTATTTCAGAATAAAATTTTATATTCTGATTTGGAGAGGATCTAATTGGTTTATGCAAATTGTGGAGGTTTAAAAATAACTTTAAAGTTCCATGTACTATGATATGGGAGGAAAGTGGCTACGACATAAAAATAATGAACTTCTAGGAAGGGAAGAAAGCAGCACAATAAAGACAAGGAAAAGACTTACTGTTGTCTAGGAGTGACGATGTTAAGTAGGGATGGGAAACATCAATGGTAGGAAGGAATTTAATCTTTACAGCTTGTTGAAAGAATTGTGTTGAATGAATTGTGTTGAACATCTGTAGAATCTTCAAATGGAATAAAAGAGCAGTTGCATAATAGCAACCATCTTAATAATGAACTCTGATAATCTCAATCTCAATAAAAGTGCCCATAACAGTGGAAAGTTGAGCAGTAAGATCAAGCCTAGTTAGATGCAGCTATTAACAGTATTTAAGGAGATGCTTAGTATTTTTCTTTAAGTGCTATACTTGTAAGAGGAGGAAGATTAAGGAAGAAGTAATGGCTGCCAAAACGAAAAAAAATTCGAATTTTTAACTTGTCCTTTTGTCCTGGTAAATAAATACTATCAATACATATAAACACTAATATATCTGTAGAGTTGGGTAAGTGAATGGACAGATATTGTTTTGGGGTTTTTATTTCTAATGGGGGGGAGGGAGACTGTCTTTGATCAATTTAACATCATCTGATTGAGTTTCTGAAGAAAAGCAAGAAGAAATCCTTTCAGTAGTTTCAAGTCATCTGAAAGACAAGTGAATAAACAAGAACCAGCAAGAATTTGTCAGAAGTATTAACTTAAGGTTTCTCTTTTCTTGGCTTGATAATCATGCCTTTGAGCCACATCTTGGCTTCTGAAAGGCTCTTGGTGACACCTGTGACAATATCCTATGAAGATACATGACTTAAAATAACTTGCTATGTTGTGAACGTAAGTTGCTGTAAAGGCTGTACTGGCAAAGGTTATTCATGCCACTGTGAAACTGGAAGACTGTATCAAATGGCCTTGCACCAAGATCTTTCTGTGTCTGCTGATAAATATTTACATAACTCAGTAATGGAATACAAAGTATTCTTGCTACTTTTGCAGATTGAACCAATATAGAAAAGGCAAGGAGTGCTCTTGACAAACTGGAGAAGGAGCTCAGGGAAAATAGGATGCAGGTCAATGAAAAAATTGCTCAAATATGGAAAGAGGATGGGAGATTACAGAGGTAGCAGCTGTGTTGTGTCGACCCCCAGGTGTGAAATGGAAACAGAGAGTTTAAGGAACTGTTCTAGAAAACAAGGTATTTAGCACAACTGTTCAGAATGCTTGAATTCTTTTAATTCCTATTTTTTTTATATCCAAATGTATTATGTCATTTTTAAGTACAGTTTCTTCTGACAAACTTGTCAGGTTTTTCTTACAAACTTGTCAGGTTGGAATTTGCATACACGAAATATCATTCATCTGCTCGTTACCAGGTTGCCTTTATTTTTTTTGGTTTTGTTTTTTAGAGGTACCGTTCCAAACCAGGATAGAATTTAAATTGCAAGGAAACAAATGTCCTGTTGCACATGGTGGTAGGAATTTTTTAATGAGCAATGCTACAGGAGTTCCACTTTACCTTTTTAATTTTTTTTTTTTTAATTTGGTTATTTAAGACTGTATTATAGCGGAGAGCACTATATGTTCTTGTGACTGTTTTCTGCAAAAAACAGATGTAGCAGTATGTCTATATTGTATGTGTATGTATATATACACACACACACGCACACTAACTAGGTCACCTAGTTATTGTATTTTGTGTCCAGCTCTACCTGTGGAAAGGAAAAAATACTCTGCGATTTAAAATTGTCTTTAGGACTTTCATTTCTTGACTTTTCTGGCCTAATATAGGTCAATAGTCCAAAATACATAATACACTAACATGGTGGGTTTTTTACTAGCTTTACTAGAGTTTTGCTATTTTTGCAAGCGCTTTTTCAACACATATTTACTGTCTGTTCTTTAAAGTATGAATGACTTTTTAGTCTGTATTTTTGCAGTACTTGGTGCAACAGCAACTCAGTCTTACCTGGACTCCCTTCTACCTACCCGAAAAGAGGTAAGCAGAGGAAAGTATTGTTTTTTTTTATTTTTTTTTTTGTTCTATTCTGGTTGGAGACCTGAAACTTCTGTGTCTTCATTAAGGACTGTGCTTCCAAATATGCACATATACGTATATATGTGTGTGTATAGATGGATATAATGTAATTTTAGAAGAGCAATAATCTTTTCTATATCTTATGTATTTGATCAAGATTATAATATCAAATTGAGATGTTGGGGGCTTGGTTTCAGTGGCTGAGTTGTCAGAAGTATAGCCAGTCCTCTGAACTTGTGCATGGATCTCCTTTGAGATTGTATTTCTACCAGATGTTTCAAGGAAGGGACATGTAGTATTTTTTTGTGTGTTTTAATGTTAACTCCTTATTTTTTCAAGTAGGGATTTAATTGCTAAAACATTCTCTCCAAAACTGCACTTGTGTGTCAACAGGACAGCAATATTCCATGTAGTAGTTTAATATTATGATGTTAAAAAAAAATGATTTTTATTTGAAAGCTTTTCTGCATTATAAACATTAACCCTTCACTTCAGGTTGCCCTCTTTAAAAGTTTTGGAAAAGTAAAGTATATTTATAAAGGTAAATCTACAATATCTGATTCTGTCTTTTATAATGTAAATGTTAGCTTGACTTTGTAAGTAACAATTTTGTTTAGCATGTTTTGCGCAGTTTCTCCCAGTCTGAGGGAGACATTAACACAAGCTTACTATTTTTTTAAAGGAAGAAAAAAACCCTTCAAAAGTAGAGCTGGAAACAAGAAGACAAAAGGAAGAACAGAATAGGAAGGAGGTAGGTGGATAGGGAAAGAGCTGTATTGCAAGTATCACTGACTAGACTGTGTTCTGTCTAGACTGCCCTTTCGTTTTTCTGGGGGGAATGGATGCAATGATTTAAAACTTTTCAGCATTCTATACAGTGACTACAATTACATGCTTGTGTTTCCGGGTTCAGCAAACAAAATCCCTTAAAAAGCAAATGTCATATTTCTGCCCAGCCCTCTTTCCCATTAAATAGTTTCACATGATAGAGATTCTGATTGATCTCTTTTGTGTGGGAAATTGCATTTAGAAGTGGTTTAGAATCAGATCAACATTATATTCACACTGAAAAGCTAGGAAGTGAGAATTCATCTCTTTGTGCAAAATGAAAAATAGAAATGACGTATTTTCTGACAAGAACCACATCTGTTACATAGGATAGAGGAGTGTCAGGAATAAAAAAAAGCTTGTGGGGAAGGAATAAGTATGGTTTAATTAATAATGTTTATGTTACTGAAGTGTGGTGGGAAGAATATTGCCAGGAATGGCATCCACACAGGAAATGTATGTCGACATTTAAAAGAGCTCCAGTGTTAGAATCGTAGTGTTGCTTATGTTTCTTGATGATTTTCACCAAAGTTCACTGAATTAAGTGATTCTTTTAAAGTGCCTCAGTGCTGCCTAGATGATATAGGTCTGGAAAGTGTACATGCTTTCTTTTCCACTTGGCTAAACCTTCTGTACTTCAAACACTCACTGCTGTCAGAAAAAAGATGACTGGTTGACAGTGGGCATACATTCAGAGAAATCATCACATGCCTTGTGACTGATAACTCTTCAATTGACAGGCTGCTAGCTACTGTGTTGGCAAGGAAAGATAGTTATATACTTTTTTGTCACTTTTGGTATAATTGCTTCTGAAAGCTGCCCAGTAAAATAACATTTATCTACATACATTACCTTCTGTCTAAATAAAAAATCTTTACTTTAGTATTAACCCTTACTTTGATCTTACATAATTTCTATGAGATAGTAAGATTTGTAATTTATCAGGGGATAGCAGTTCATAATGGCACAGCATACTTACCTAAAACGTTGAACTGAGCTACTACTCTAGGGCCAGGAAAGCCGGACTGTTAATCCTAGAGCTCCTGTGTATATTTTCAAAAGGGACTGGAATGTGTAATGAGGGAGGAAAAAGGAATAAGGGAAAGCAAGCTAGCAAGCTCAGGGCAAATCAAGGCTGCTACTTCCCTGTCTAGGTAACTGGAAATTAAGAGCTGAAGGCCACCTATTGACTTACTCAAGGCCTGTGGTTAGAGTGCAGACTTGCAGTGTTTTTGCTGGCTGTGGGACAAAAACTTGTTTCTGTAGGTTGGCTTGGCCTGCCTAAAAGCTGGACTTCTTTAGCTCTGCCAGGAGCAAAGCCTAATTGCTGGCAGCAACTAGGAGCAAGGAAGATGGGGTTTGGGGAAAAATGGAGCCATGCAAGGGCCAAGAGAGATGAGGGGCAGCCTGTGCCTTTGATGTGAAAGGGAAGGAAAAGGCAGAGGTGTAGCCAGAAAAGTAATGTGCAGCAGCTCCAGTGTACATTCCAAATACTTGCTTGGGACTAGAGTCAAAGGCCTGAGGGAAATGCTAGAAAAAACAGAACAAAAAATGCTTTTTGCATGGTCATTTCCAGTATAAGTAGAAGATCTCTTTTGCAAAGGCTGGTGGAAGCCAAGATGGTTTCTGCACTCTGTCAACATAATGCATTTTGAATATGCATGCGTATATAAACCTAAGCCATACAAACAAAAGCTCATGCAAGCTAAATCTCATTTTAGTATCAGAAACCAATAGGTAGCTTAGTAATTATGTAATAGAGAAAAATTCATTTGTTGTTAAAGTTCAGGGTGGTCTTAGATCACCATACCTCAGCCAGCTTAAAAAGCAACTGAATTTTCCCTTGGGGTAGCTTCCACCTTGTAGCATGTCACCCTCCTTCTACGACTCCTTTCTGTTTTGTTAGTAGGGAATTTCTGCTGAATGGCTATTGAAA